AAGCATGAAGGCATTTAAAAAGCCACTTGCAACAAAGAATAACTGTTTCAGAACATAATTGTTAAAGTATTTACAATGTCCCTCAAAATTACATCAAGTTTAAGACCCACACAAAAAACAATAGTCTACCTCAAATTCCTGAACTCTAAATAAATTCTAAATCTACAGTCCTGGGTTTTCAGGATGATTGCTATATAATGCTTCATATTAAACTTGGTAGTAAAGGCCTAGGAAAAGATCCAGACAAAATGTCAGTGTGCTCGTTAACGGAAACTGATTTTTAATAACTTTTCTGCAATTATGTAGACACAGTCGTGTAAATGAAAAGAAGTTCACAATGAAACAATGATGTGCAACATGCAGTAAACCATGGAAACCAATAAAATTTTATCTAACAAGAGTCAGTCCAGAGAAACATTTACTCTTATGGGTTTCTGTGTGGGTATGTCTACAAAGTGTCTCCTTTCTCCAGCTTAAAATCATTACCGTATAAGGGCTTCGATGAAGGACCAGGTCCCCTTTTTACAAACAGGACACTGAAGAATATTAAGGTAGAACTGGGACATGTAAACAGATTCCCATGGAGGATGATAATATAAGAGGTTGGAAAACACACCAAAGAATCGACCAAAATGGCTGACGTCTACATTTCCCTGTAAAAAACAAATCATTCACAAGTTTTTTTTAATATGCACAGATTAACAGGAGCAATGAGAATGCAGAATGGATATACAATGTTCACATACAAGGATAATGTAAATTTTATAGAATGATTGAGGACTCTAATCTTAATGAAACACAATGTTCTGATTGAAGGAGCTCACACCTGAAATTGCTAATAGCAGTTTTTTGAACAGCAATTTCAAAGAAACATTTCAAACATTGTATTGTAATTCACAATAGATATAAAGGTTGGGGTCTACAATATTCTAGTCAATCTTATTTAGAGCAAAGTCAAAGTGAAGAAACAATAGCAGCCTTGAGAATTCTTCAGTGACTTTACTGTAGTAGGGTTAAAAAATTAGAGGCCTCTTGGTCCGTTTAAATACATTTTCATATTTCACCAGCGTGTACAATAAAATAGGATTTTGGCCTTCCCTGTATAATCATTTTCTTGGGAGTACATTACAGGACACAAGTCAGTATTCAGGAACATAGGGTTATGCTGCTGCCGTCAGGAGATTGGACACTGACAAACAAAACCTAAATAACCCCTCCCACTCACAGAAAATCAGTTTTGTAGCAAGCATTAGAAGGAGTGGATCATAAGAACAGAGGGGTGTGAGCCGTGTCCTTTAATGTACTCTAACAGGATTTTACAGGTAAGACAAAAATTCTATTTTCTTGTTTCCAGGACATAGGACAGCATTTAGGAACATAGGGATGTCCAAAAGCAGTCCGAATGAGGGTAGGGCAGCACAGCAAGAAAACTAACAGGCCCATCGAAAAAAACAACAGGTGAACAGAGCTGCCTAAAGAACCTTACGACCAAGGCTGGCATCTGCCGGGGATTGAACGTCCACCTGGTAAAATATAACAAACGTATAAACCGAAGATCAGGTGGCAGCCTTCAAATCTGAGAAACAGAATCCAGATGCTGAGAAGCCCAAGAAGCGGCAAACAAACACTCAGGTTGACTCGGCTGTCACAGGAAAAAGGCCATAAGAAGATACGATGTTGAATCGTCGGGGTGTAGAGACCACTCTCCAGAATTTGATAACTGTGGAAGTCTGCCTGCCAATTCTCCACCTCTGGAGACTGCACGATGGACAGGGCCAGGACGTTTAGTTCCAATGAGGCCAGAACTAGATCTGCTTCTCTCTGAGCTGCAAGACTTCTGGTTCCTCCCTGATGATTGATGTATGTCACTGTCATGGCACTGTCTGATTGATCTCTGGTCAGATGGTCTACACTCAAAGGGGCTGATGTTGGAGGCACAACCTAATCGCTAACCGGAACATTGATCGGAAGATGAGTTTCCTCCAGAGCCCTTTTCCCCTGCATCAAGAGAATATTTAGGGCGCCCATCAGGTGGACAGCCTGGCTACCAACTTGATGACTTTCCAGAACGGTGTTAAAAAGGATCTCCCTGTCCCCAGTGCTCGCTTTGTCACCGATTACATCAGGGCAAGCTTGGTCTTGCTGCTCAAACAAATGGGATGGCCCAGAAACTGTACTTGCTTGTCCCGCACTGACAGCATGTTGAGTTGCAGCATCTGGAGTAAAATTAGGCACCTGGCACTGCCTCCAATAAGGCCACCTTCAGACCCAGACCCCTAATGCAGAAACAAAAGGTAGGCCGACTCCTCGATTCTTCTGGAGATAGGGATCCACCCAAAACTGCTCAAGGTCTGCATGGTCTGCATAACATTGCCTGGCAAAGTCAACACTCACTGCTTGCAGATAAATTAGGATATCACATTATGGGAATATCCTAAAAACAAAACAAAGCCTGAGGTGTAATGTACAAGCTAAAAAGGGCAAAAAAATGGAAATGTTGTTCACCCATAAAAAAATGCAGGAAACAATGATGTGCCAGGAAGACGGGAATATGTAAAAGAAAGCCTCCTTGATGTCTACTGAGGAAAGGACCTCTGCAAAATGAAGGAAAGCAATGGTTGGCAGATTCAATGTGGAATTTCTGCGCCTGGAGAAAGAAGTTGAATGGGGTGCATGTCCCTCTTGGGTTTGGGGACCGAAAACAGGTTTGAAAAGAACCCCTGAAACCTATACTTTTCCTGCACAAAGGCAATGACCACCCATGAGACAAGTTTGATAACATGAAGCAGGACAGAGACTAAAATTCTAGTCTGTAACCTCCTTGGACAAGTGGGGTGTCCTCTCATTTGGAGGAGAATGTACTCACGGACTGGGAAGATTTGGAGTTTCAGGTTTTTGGGGTGGGACTGAGAACCATGGTTCCCCTTGGACCTAGAGACCTGTGAGGGATGAAAAGAAATTCTCTTAGGCCCAGAGAAAGAAATATGCAAGAGGTGCTTCTTGTATTGAAGTTCAGCAGACTAACACTTCAGTCAAAGAGTCCTCCTCATATGAACTGACTGGAGATCCATTCTGGATATTTGGCGCATAATATCCCCCACTCCATGTACGCAGTAGAGAAGAGCCATGGGAAAGAGCTTCAGGTGTTGAAGAAGCTTGGAGTTCGATAAGACCGAACCAGGGTTCTGGGAGATGACCTTGGACCAGACAGCCAAGGTCTGATAAATGGACATGGTAGCAATGGCAGGTTGCAGGTCCAGGGCTGTTAAGGGCAAATAAGATTTTTAGAAGGCCTCCACAGGGACAGTTAACATATTGTTAAGGCTGGAATGGCGAGATCCACCACAAGAATGAAACCCTGCAGTCGGAATCCTACCTGGATAAGCAGGAGGAAGCCTGAAAGCAAAGTTATAAAAGTGGGGGGTGGTCTGGGCAGGGATGTAAGCGGACGTGCACGCTGAGGCTCCTGCCGACTATCCTGCATGACAATCCTTGTCTAGTGCTGCTGGCCTGTACTGGCTGTGGTGTGAGGCTGGCTCCGATCTGAGTGTGGACAGCTGAAGGATTGGAAAGGAACTGTTCGGTGAGACTGTGTGAGCTGCCTGACTGGTGATAGAAACGAGCTGTGATGCTGCCAATTAGGGCTATGAGAAGCTCAGCGGATGTGAGAGGGAGAGGAGTAAAAGGTGGAGAGGGAGGGTGGTGGAAATATGACTAGGAAAAGAAAGAAGAGTCAACGAAGGCGATAGTGGGCTGAAAAGAGTAAGATGGAAGTGATGGTGGTGTGCATCCCCATAAAGGAAAGGAGACTGCAAAGCTTTTGGGGGGGGGGGGGGGAATTGCCCATAAACCAATCAGAAATGCAACACTAAAAATGGTGGAATCACCATCTAGTCATCAGGCTAATTTTGGCACATGAATCCACCCTGCCACTAACCCCAGCACAGGTGACTTTCAAATGCACCATGGATACTAGTGAATCAGCACAAACCGTGAGTAATCTAACTGCTCCTACAATTAATCATTCAGAGAGCCTACATTGGGAGGTATAATTGCAGCGGTAAATACATGTAACTTTTCACTTGCCGATGTAATGAACCCAATGCAGGGGTTGAAGGAGGACATTCTATTAGTTTGGTAGGACATTCAGAAGATCCTGGTGCATACTACAGCTTTAGAAGATATAAAACCTGGGGGGAACTATATGGTGGAGCCTGGTTGCTGGGATTATCATTTACCCGTAGATTACACCTAAATAATATCTGAAACTATTAAAAACTGTCTGTTCCATAGTGCCAGAGTGTCAAATTGTAATAATATTACTAGGGATGCACCGATACCAAGTACCGTACTCGGTACAAGTACAGATACTTTTCAAGCTCCAAGACTAGACTGGAGAAAAATTCAAAAGTTAGGGAGGCAGCTGTCATTTGTAAGTGCACACGGAGCTCCTGTGATTTGTACATCTCTGTTTTAATGTATGATTTTGGTTTTATAAATATAAAAGGGATGCACTGATACCATTTTTGCAAATACAAGTACTGATACTTGCCCAAGTACTTACAAGTACTGATACATTTTTGTTTATTGTCATGTGACAGTTTTTCTAAAACAATACAGACTAATGATTTCAGGACAGTGGTGGAGTGCCAGAGCCAGGTCCCACTTGCAACTTCTGCAACCCTGATAGTTGTCATGAAAATGCCAAGTATCGGCACTGGTATACATTACATAATGCTATAGTTCCCACTTTTCAGACATCAATGGAGACTGTGAAACCTGATAGGATTTGGTGAGATCCATCTATGTACTATGATTTCTTTTGGAAACTGCATTAATAATATCATGGATTATGTGTGATTTGAGCACATGTCGGATGGGGCTCATGGATATTGGGCTTCTGCAGATGGTCTTATTACAACGCCTTGGGGTTGTGCAACAGGGTGTTTTTCGATTTGGAAACCCCAGGATGCACAACTATGCATGCTTTGGGATGCATCAAACTATGCTGCTTTGGCACACAGGCAATATATGAGAGGCATGGCTCCGTTAACATCATATGATGCATTTTTCTGAATAGTCTCTAACCTTCTCACACAGTTCATGCGTTTTACTCCACGAAGGCTGAGATGTTACATACACTTACTCACCTTCGGTTTTCATTGATGGATTGAATCTGGGGCCAGTTGTGAAGCACACGGTTTTTAGGAGCTCCCCATATGCAAGACTGCATTACAAGTAGATGGGGTGGAAGACCACATACAGTATAAGGGGTTACAGCCAGCATGATTTGAACTTCTCTGGACTGTAAAAACTATTTATGAGATCATTTGACCACTATTTGTAGATTTTGTATTTTGGGTGTGTTTTGTGTTTGGTTTTGGTTGGTCTTTTTGTTGTTTTTCTTTGTGTGTGTGTACATTGATGTTTTAGCGATATGCTTTGATACGATAGTAATAAATGTCGCATTCCAGTGTCTATTGATGTCTGAGAAGTGGGAACTATAGCATTATGTAAGCAGGAGGAAAGCATCACCCTCGAAGGGGTTAATGGAGACTCGGAGGTGTGCCGCGACTCAGGCAGGGGACAGTAATCCACAATATCTGTGCCAGGGTCCGTAGGGGTGGTGTGATGCTAGGGGTTCTCATGAGCCAACTGCCAAATGTAAACCTCACTGGAGGAAGCAGGGAGCCCAAGTCCAGGTGGTGGTGGTGTTGAGTGGCAGTGGGGAGTGAGTGACCGGATCCTGCGCAGGCAAGAGAAGCTTGCATGTTCAGTAGGGCTCAACTAAATGGTGGAGCCCAGGAAAGGTTGCCAAAAATGGTCGCAGCCCTCAGTTTCCGATGACAGAGAGCGGCACAAACAGCAGCACAATCAGTTAGCCTTTTAGGGGATTCGCAAGGTGACATTTAGCACACCCAGATGCTGTCTTTCTGCAGATGTCTTCTCCTGTTGACTCAGGCAGAAGCGGGGGGGACAATACATGCCCTCCTCAGGATCTTCGCCATCCCAATGGGTATACCCCCTAAAGTTTTAGGGACAGGGTTTACCCGGTTTGGGGAACCGAGGCCCTGGGCATGTAGAGCTCTGCAGCTACCTTATCGCATTTCACCATGTGCCTCGGTGAGCACCAAAAGCAGAGTCTAGTGCTAGAAGACTAGAAGACACAGGCTGGCCCTGCACCTATCTCATGGCAGGCTCCAAGTACAGCCCCCAAGGCTATGCCAAGGATTAGCTGATCTGGAAAGCTGCAAACAGGAGCTCCAACGGCTCTATAGCTTTTGAAGACATTTTTTAGAAGAAACATTATATTGATGAAAAGAAAAGTGGGTAGCTTTTCTCAGAGAATATGTTTTTTTGGGACACCAGCACAAAAAACTAAGGCTTGCTGAGAGTGGGAGGGGTTATTCTGGGCTGTCTTCAGTTCTGTTTTGCCAGTGTTCAACCTCCTGAAAGCGGCAGCATAACTCTATGTCCCTGAATACTGTCCTGGGTCCTGTAATGAGGTTTGTCACGTCATCAACCATTTGTCCAGAGATGACCAGTGAGCAGTAACCACCACTTTGTTTAGGCTAGTGGCAGTCACCTTCCCAACAGATTGCCAAGCATGACCACAAGTTATACAAATGCATCTCAGCTGATCTATGTACAGTTTTCCCATAAGTGACAGCTGATCAACATGCTGGTGTCAATGTGTGGACAATTTTTATTCCTGAAGAAAATACATTTTAAACAACAAGAAGCATCTTGTAATGCTACTGAATAGAATAACAGCATCTACAAAATTAGCAGTATATTTGTTTATTATGAAAAGAAGAAAAATCACCTGAATAAAGTGCTGGAGCAGAGACATGAAACATTTCTGAGGGAACAGCGAAGGTAGGAGACTTTCAATTTCCCCAAATGCTTCTGTGAAGAACTGTCCTTCTATTAGTTCTTCAATTCTGTTCCAACTTGATCGCCCAATTTCCTTATGTTTAACCTAACAGGAATCAAAAGCAAACCTTTCACTAAAGAAATACAGAGGCTATCATTGCTTACCTACTAGTGAAAATTGTGGTTACCTATCCCTTTGGCTGACCCCCTGGCTTTAGAGTAAAACTAAAACTCAGTTAAATCTTAAAAATACATTCAAATACATTAACAATTAACTAAAATGTACCTTATTTGTGCACCACTCTGTAGATCCTCAAATCATCTATAAATTCATGGTGACACTGCCCTTCCTTCTGGAAGGTGGCTACTTTTGTTCTCCAAGTTTTCTTGTGTTGTTGTAAAGTAGCCACCGCTCCAAGCTCCCTCCCATGCTGGACTACAATCTCAATAGAAATTAGTAAACTGAACCTGATATTGCAGTCCATCACCGGAGCAAGCTTGTTGAAACTTCCCTGATGACAGGTTTCTTTCATTCAGGAATTAGCAGCAACGCAACAGCTTTGCTCCCTTGAGCAAACAACAGCTTTCTTTGTTGTGTCAGTCATAAGAATGCAATAGTTATGAAAAGTACAGAGAAAATAATTTGTTGTCGCCTCAGGTGCTTTATTGGGAATCAGTCAGGGTCGTGCTGAGTATCTGAATTCCACTGCCCAGTATCTGAAAATACTACCTACTGTACTTGGCCATCTCTTCCTTTTCCCCTCCCAATTATTTATTTTTTTACTATTAGCAATGTTCAATAACAAAAGAACAAAGCACAAACAGACAGCACATATCTACTTCAGTCTGCATAAATACAACAACATACTGAACCTATAACCACCATTACATGATATTCAAACATCTGGGGTTCTTTGCATATAAAGTGTTGGGTGACAGGATAACCAGAGCTACGAAAAATAAGGGAACAAACAACTGGCAAATAAGAGTAGCAAACAAAGATAAACATGAAAAGAGAAGGGATAAAAAGAAAAAGGAGATAGAGGAGAGATAAAGGACGAAGGCCAGAATGGCCAAGGGAGTCCCATGATCTCAGGTGGGGAGTAACAAGCATCAAAGTTCCAATAGCCGTTTGTCAAAATCAGACAGAAGGAAATTGAAGACCCACAGGTCCCAGACCTTACGAAATTTGGGCATTTTGTAATTTACGAAATTTGGGCATTTTGTAATTTAGCTATCAGTTTTTCATCAATCAGGACCCATTACAGCCAATTTGTGACTGCAGACAGGCATACAATTTTTTGAACTTGTAGGCAGGCTTGAAAAAGGTTAGAAATGTTCTAGCATTTCCCCAAGTAAACCGCTCCCCAGCTTACAAAATGGTTTTGGTCAGGACTGAGCTTTGAACTACTGGTTAAAACAAAAAAAGTAATAGATAAAATGCACTTTAGTATTCTATGCATAGTTTAGAGGATAGTTGCAGAACCTTTTATAAATCCAAGCTTATCTACTTTCTTTCAGCATTGAGAAGCTTACACATTATTACTATCCTCCTTTCCAGGAATTGCTACATTCTTAAGCTAATGATTAGTGTTGGGTGATATGCAGATTATTTTAATGGCCATCCTTGTGCACCAGTCAAGGAAGTTATTACCTGCAGAAAATTCTCAATCATATAAAAGCTCACTAATTTGCTTCCAATAAAAAGCTATCTACTTATTAGACAATTAAAACTGGGCTTTAGGATTCAATGTAAAAGCAATTATTCACTTTAGAACTGTCAAAGAAATAGGACATTAGGCAAACAATTACATTGTATCCATACAATACGTACAAAAGTCATATGTAAATGTGTAAATCAAAATCTATTCATCAAAACTGATCTCACACTAGAATCCACTTGAAACACTGATCTGCTGACTTACAAACTGGTGAAAACACACCCTAAAATGTATGCTTACCTGTTCAATCTTCAGACACTTTAATTCCTTTCAACAAGGGTCATTATTGGCAAAAATAATCTAACAGATTAAGCAGTTCTACCACCAAAAGTTTACATATTTCCTAAGTGCTCTTAGAAGCTTTTGAAAATGTAAAGTATTTTTGTGATTGGCACCTGGTTGAAATTGCCTACAAAATTGCTGTGAGTGCGAGTATTACCGTAGATCGTTCTACAATTAACAATGATAAATAAAAATGTTGGTGTGCTTGCTTGGAATGTTTGCATTGCAAAGGCAGTGGCAGACAATCAAATGTACAATTCAGGAACCATTCAGTCCTAGGAGGTTGGCACATTAAAGTAAGACAGATAAACCAAACTTGGACCCATAGGATTAACAGGACAAAAGTGAAAAAGTATTTCAGCCTGCTTTGCTATCCAGCATAATTTACCCAAGCCCTGTTGCTATGACAGGATCTCACTGTTGGCTTTGACAGGATTTTTGTAGTTATCATAAAATCCTTTTCTTAGAGTTCATTGAGGGACACAGGGTTAATTCTGAGACTAGAGTCTTACCTTAAAATCCAACGTGGGTATACATGCCCTTTTTTAGTTTGTGAACTTTGAACAGGTTGTAGTAGAACTAGGGATGCACAGATACCAATTCAGATACTAGTGCCGATATTTGGCATTTTCACAAGAGCTTACACGGTTTCAGCTGCCACTGGGCCCTGGCACTAGATCACTGTCCTGAAGTCATTAGTCTGTATTGTTTTACCCACATTAAAACAGGGATGCACAAATCCCAGGAGCCCCACAGCCAATGCTCCTTTAAAATGACAGCTGCCTCCTAACATTTGAGTTTGCCTCTAGTCCAGTAGCTGGAAAAGTATCGGTACTCGGTATCTCTGCATCCCTAAGTAGAACCCCTGGAACTGCTCTACCACAGGGACTGGGTAATGACACCTTAATCCAGAACACCCACAAGGTTTGCACGGAGATCTGTTAATCTGTGGGGTAACACAGGTAGGTTGGAAGTAATGAGCTGGGGAGAGGGCAGATTTGTAGTTTGTAGCGCCTGTAAACCAGTCCCCGCACTCAAGCATCTAAGACGCTGGTTGGTCAAGTGTCCGCAAAGAAAAACAGACATCCACTCAAGTTGAAAGGTATGGGAAAGAAGGGGGAAGCCCAGGGTTTGCCGGTGGGCTGGAAACCAGATTTGGGTTTGGCTTTGGAAGTTGAGGTCTGGAAGTAATAAAATTAAAAGGACTCTTCTTTGCCTTCAATGAGGAGCTGCTTTTTTCACTGGGATGGTAAACACTTTGTTGCGACACTCCACCCAGCAGATGACATCACCACTCAATCCCTCAGTATTAACCCCTTTCAAGGTAAAAGTGACAGAAAAGTAAAGTTTAAAACAGTGCCAAGTAGGTCAGGTAACCAGCTAGCTCTTGGTGCATGGCCTGCACAGCCTTCTCTCAAAGTGAGTCTCTTTAGAATCAGGGTCACACCTGGGGCTGTGCCACTGCCCTGGACCTGCAGAAATCTCTGTTGCTGACTTTACAGTACATGCAAGTTTGGAAAGTGTCACAATGCAAAGCCCAAAAGATCACATTACATAGTATTTGGGGTTGAATAAAGACATCCATCCATCAAGTCCAACCCATATAGGTCCACGCATCATCTCATTCTTAGGGATACTGGTATCCCTGGATATTACGGTCCCTCAAGAAATTGTCCAAACGTTTCTTGAACAAATCTACACTCTTGGCTGAAATCACTGCCGATAGCAGTGAGTTCCAGACCTTAACCGCTCTTACTGTAAAGAACCCTCTTCGCCCATTGTGCTGGAATTTTGTCTCCACCAACTTTAGGTGGTGGCCTCTAGTCTTTGTAATGGAGTTAATCTCAAACAGTTTGTTGCCAATGTTGCTGTCACCATTGAACATCTTGTACATGAAAATCATATCCCCCCTTAATTCCAGCGTAAACATGTTTAAGGTCAGAAGCCTTGTCTCATAGCTCTGGTCCTCCATTCCCCTAATTAGTTTGGTTGCCCTCCGCTGGACTCTCTCCAGTTCAAGGACATCCCTTCTCAGTACCGGCGACCAAAACTGGACCGCGTACTCCAGATGTGGCTAGCCCCAGAACATATGGTCCAGGGGGGTTCAGATATGGCACTCCAAAGTCAGGCTTAGGAAAGGCCAATACAGATAGCTGGATATAGAGATCAGTTCAGAAGCTATGTAGCTGGAATCTGAATCATGAAAAAAGGTAGTCCTAGGACACAAGCAAAGAACTGCAGCATGCTAGCAGAAAGGGTTATACTGGGCTGGCCCACTTTTTTTGTTGTTGCCAGTGTCCAATTTTCCTGTAGGCAGCGCTATACCTGACAGTCTAAGTTCCTGTATCCCTCAGTGGACTAAGACATGGAAAAAAAATACCTAATGATCTTGCCAAGAATGCAGTCAGCTTCTAACTTCCTGTAGTAAGCGAGACAACACTGCCTCTGCTGCAATAAAATAGCAGAAGAGGAGGAGCAAGAGTAGGCAGCTAGAACAAGAGGGGAGTGCTGAGAATAAAAACAAGGAGTTGTGGAGAAGAAGATGTGCTGAAATAATCGCACATGGGACAGCTGTTCTTCATATACTGTATATTTTTTTTTTTTTTAAATGTTGCCCATTCACACCCTTTAAGCATTTTTTCCTCTGTAGATGTGCTGCCATTAAACTCACTTTGCACTGGCTTTGAGCTTTGTGGATCCTTCTAGTGGCATCCAATATTACTGAATTTGTGCCTAGGAATCTCAGTACACATTTAGAAATAGCCTTTTGACTAAACATAGCAGGTGAAAGCAAATGTGTAGTACGCTTAATATTGATAAATCAATAAAAAGGAAAATGCCAATGTGACATTAAATAATATTAAGAAACAAAGAGAAACATGATTTGCTTTCCTTAGCAATGGTAAACTCTGTATATTTGCACATATGGAGACAGAACATCTGTTATCTCCCCTCAAAGCAAGTCTAAGTATATAATCAATGTTTCTCTTAGCTCTGATGGTTCCCATGAAATCCTGTTACTTACAGTTGATGTATACTATGCGTGAATTTAAGGGTAGAAGCCTATTTGGAACTGATTCCTTTGATATTTAGTTTTTGTTCA